CCGCCGTGCCGTCCAGCTAGCAGGCTGGCTCACTCACCAGCTAGCCCGGTCGCTTGCCCAGCTCGCCTGGCCGCTCGCCGGTCGCCTGCCCGGGCCGTGGTTGAGCACGCCTGGCCGTCCCTGCCATGGCCGGACTGTCTCGGCCGTGGCCGAGCTCATCGCCTGCGTGCCAGGCTGCCATCTCGGCTGTGGCCGAGCAGCCCAGCCGCTCGCCCGTAATGCCCAGCCGCTTGCCCGTCGTTGCCCAGTCGCTCGCCCGGCCATGGCCGAGGGCTGTGCCGAGCCGTGGCCGACTACCGTGCCCCTTGCGCCCGTGCCGCGCTGAGTCGCCACTGTTCCACCGGGCCATTTTGGCCCCTTGCCAGTTTTCCTTGGGCCAAAACCTAGGTAAGTGACTTCCTAATCCCTACTTAGTACTTTGGGTATTTTAGACTTGTTTAGGGGTAATTAGTGTTGGTTTAGGGAGTAAGTTGAGCGTGGATTAGTTAAATTGAATGTGATTAGTTTATGATTTATTGTGGTGGTGATATTGTGGCTAAATTAGTAATCAATCGAGATGGGTTCAATGACTGAATTGTAGTGACATTTGTGGGTGAAATTGGTGTTTGAATGTGGCCAAATTGAAAGGGCTAATGTGGTGAGCATGACTTGAATTTGAATAGTATGATGTGTTGGATTGGTATTGGCGAATTGTGTTGTGGAGTGTGTGCATGAGGAATGTCCCGAGGCGTGGTTACGCGGGACTAAGCTCGGATTGAACGGAGGGTTGCCAACTTGAGGCGTGGTTACGCGGGTGTGGCTAGAAAGGCAAGAAATGACCTGAGGCGTGGTTACGCAGGTCGAGAGAAATGTCCTGAGTTGTGGTTACGCGGGACTAAGCCCGGATTGATTGGAGGGCTGCCAACCTAAGGCGTGGTTATGCGGGTGTAGCTAGAAAGGCAAGAAATGACCTGATAGGTGGTTACGCGGGTAGAGAGAAATGTTCCGAGGCGTGGTTACGCAGGACTAAGCCCGGATTGATCGGAGGGCTGGACCTAAGGCGTGTTGACGTGGGTCGTGGTTAGTTGGTTGGACATGCATGCGAAATGAGTTTGGTTGAATTGGTTGAATGTACGTGGTTATGGCGCTCGAGTGTTTATGTTATGTTCTTGAGCTATTATTGCATTATTGTGACTTGACTAATGAGTGGAGTTGGGGTGTGATTTGAGGCGAGGTAAGTGTGCATGAGAATTCTTTTATGTCGATTACTAGATTGCATGTTGGGATTCGTCTGGGTACGCATTAGCCTAGGTGGGGTTTAGGTTGTCTGCTTATTGAGATTTATTCTCATTGCTGTAGTGCAAACCATTTCAGATCCCCGGCCCCGACCTTGATCATGCCGCCACCTCGGCATTTTGGGGTCCCTATGCATATGGTGCATGAGAAGATCAGACTTACATTAGGCACCTTACTACAATCTGGGTAAATGAGGGCTTAGAGGACTTGCAGCGTCACATGTACTTGACTTGGTTTTATCGGGACGGATTGGAGTTAATTGGCCCAATTCGGGGTTTTGAGGGTCAACAACATGGCAACGAGGATGCCGTAGATTGGGAGCCCGGGGACGTGTATGCTCCTGATGGTGAGATTTTGGACGCCGAAGATCCCCCGGAGAACCCTGGTCCCGAACCCGAGCCCGTACCAGAACCCGTAGCGCTTGCGGATCTCGAGCTCGAAGAGGAATTTGAAGAGCCCGAGCCTGTGCCAGATCCTGTGGAGTCCGAGCATGAGGAAGAGCCGATCGAGATCAACTCTGACACGGAGTCGGAGTCTTTAGGGTCTGATTCAAATTGGGCACTGTAGGAGCGCTTGTGTGCCGGGCTTAGAAGCTTTTTGGTAGAGCACTTTTTGTGCAGCTAGCTAACTTACCCTACCACCTGTACCTTTTTGATGATTATGGTGGATGTTAACCCTAGGAGCCTAATGTCTGTTTGTCTGACCGAATGTTATAAGTGATTATTTTTCCATTATTATGAAATTATTGTTTTGTGCTATTACTATCTCTTCGTTATTGTTTATTGTCTGGGTTGTTCTATTTCGCTTCCACTTGCGTATTCATGTGGGTGTCTCGTTTGGGTCGGCGACGCGTCCTGGAACATCACGTTCGATACGACCGTCGTAGAGGTGTTGTGAGCCTATTAAGGTTTGGGGCGTGACAGTATGTCTAAGACATTATTTTGTGACTTAAACCTAAAAAGTCTTTTCTTTTGGATGGTGCTAATTCCATACCCAAAATATCTTAATACACACCTTTTTCCATTGAATTGACAACAAAGAACATGGATGGAAATCAATCCTCTTTTGATGTTGTTTCTCTGTCGAGGGAAAACACAAAACAAATCAAGGGAAAATTTAAAATAAAAGCTTGAAGTAAAAGTGTTCTTTTCAAAACATGACTCAAAGTGAACCTTATTTCAAGTAGGAGCTTAAAATGACAAATTCAGTCTCGAATAAGAGCATGAAATGGCAAATTAAGTCTCAAATAAGACTTCAAAATCACTGACTAGCCAAATCTTAATACGATCAAGGGCATTTTCGTCCAAAAACCTTTTTCTCTTCTTATTTTCTCTCTCCTTTTCTTTTCATTTTGTTTTCTCCCTTGTCTTTTGCTTTCTTCTTGCTTCGTCAACCTCACCGCACATCCTCTGTTTTTTTTGTATTTCTTTAAAACCTCACTGCACTCGTCCGGGTTCCTCTCAATCTTGATGCCCAGCTTCTCCACCACCGTGGTCATGCGCCCGGTTGATGCTTTGATGGATGTTAATAGCCATTGTTGCTAGCACAAGAACATCCCATTCCTCTCCCCTTTTTTCCTTTGCTTCTCCCTTTTTTTCTATTTTTCTTTTTTGTCTTGTTCTTATCTCTTTTTTTCTTTTTTAAATCGATTTTCCCCCTCCTTTCTTCTGCTGCTTTATATGTTGTACTGAATTTCGTTGACGGCCGCTTGTTTCTCATACCATCGATTAGGTGCATTATAAAATTAGGAAGAGATGACAGCAACTTGTACCGTTGTGCTCTCCATCCTACGATTAGTGAAAAGAAAATATAATAATGAAAAAGTCTTTTGATGAAAATGCCCCTAGCCATATTAAGATTTGACCGATTGATGAGCACATATCCTTATTTGAGATTAATTTGCCATTGCATGCTATCATTTGAGATAAGGTTTATTATGTTGGCTGGGTTCACTCCCATGTGGAAGAAGCCTAAGGAATTGCAAGCCAAAGGCCTGAGCCCATATGTCTATTCATATGGAGAAATTGGAATTCTCACTATTATTATGTCATAGCCGCAAAAGAATGTTTTTTGAGAGAGAGAGAGAGAGCAGAAAATCTAGGTTTGAGGAAATATCTTATACTAAAGTCGGAGGTCGATTCGTGGTCCGATTAAGCTGAAATTTTGTCAGCGTTTTCATGTCGCATTCTTCTCGAATTTGATCGGTTTGATTTTTACTTGAAGCTTCCTACATCAGATTTTCGTGGGTTGCACCAAAAGTGCATTTTTGATGAGATTTATCATTTATCTCTTGTGAAGTTCATGTCTATTGTCAAGAATGAAGTTCTTGATATCTTTGCTACTATGTACCTCTAGTATTTACTAGAGATGAACTTTTTTTCACCTAGTTTTGTTGATAGTGAAGATTTTTGAGTGGACTCCGGTCTCGTGGTTTTATCTCCTCACATCGAGGAGGTTTTTCGTGTAAAAAAATCGCATTGTGTTTGCGTGCTTGGTATTTATATTTCTCGATTCAGTTGTTTCCTATTAGGTTTGCACAAGAGGGGAGATTATTTTATTTCGCTACGATAATCTGATATTGTTCGGATTGTCATTGTTCTCCCAACACATTCTAGGCCCTCTTTTGAGAAAATACATTTACATCAGGCCTGAGATTGATGCAAGAAGTCAAAAATCTTTATTATTAAGGATTTACCTAGGTTGTGTGATTTTTTTTTTGCATATACATATAGCGTAATTAGCTATGTGTAATTATCAATATTCCCCTTGTAATGAGTTGCTAATCATATATCTACATGGCACTTAGTTTTTGAGTTCCGGCTAGTGGTTAAAATCTTGAGTTAATCCATTATCTACACGTTCGTGTGGTTGTTAAATTGGAGGATCTGCATGCACTTTTATTTGATATGCTCAGGGTGGAAATAAATCATTACACAGACGGGATTCAAATGTTATCATGTATACAATTTTACATTTTGCTAAATTAATTCGATCCAATCAGTATATGAAAATTTCTATTTCAAGACTACAGGATATTTTACACCGAAGATATATTTTGTATAAATCCATTTATCTGTAAAACTTATTTTATGAGCGGATATTCCTTCCTCTGTTTTTTTTTTCCTCGACAAAGAGAAAATGATAAAGAAAGAAACTAAATTTAACTGGAATTTGAACGAGAGAGTGATTTGTCATTAGAAAAATAAATATTTTCTCTACACCAGTGATGTATGCACTGTTTTTTCAAAAAGAAAGAGTAATTATAGCATGCACAGCCATCGTGAGGAAAAATTTACCCAAATAATCTTATCCGCCCTTAATTTTTTTTTTTTGGTAAAAGTGTAAATATCATTTATGAGATAACGTACATAAGCTTAGGGGCATTCCCCAGCGTTACAAATAAAACTAAGATCACGAAAAAATGGATTATCCACCCTTAATTTGAGACCTTTAGTCGCTCACTCTCTCAAACGAAACCTAACAATAATCAAAGGTGGATCGAATAAGCTCGCTTATGGAAAAGCACAATTTACTCTATAGGTGTATACTATAATTACTTTTTCTTTTCTCTTTAACCTTTTTTTATGAGTGTGGTTGTACTGAAAATTATTCCGGTAAAAATACTTAATTCAAAGTCATTGGTTGAGTGGACGGTTAAGAGGCCGTTTTTAGTGGGGGTTTTAAAATCACGTTTGTTTAACGTCTCCTTCAAGAAGAGAGTTCCCAAGTAAAAAGCCCTGCTAAAACCCTAATCAGATCATCTCCTCTCAAACCCTCAAATTCATTTCGTTTCTTGATCTTTCTTCTCCAGCATCCATCTTTGATCTTCACCTTAGCGTTTCCCTTTAATTTTTTTCCCCATCTTCCCGCGTATTCGAGGGACCTCCATCTTCTTTTTCATCTCCTGACCAACCAGCTAAACACGCCGACACTAGCGAGCAATCGTAATGTCGTCCCCGGGACATCACGCCGTCGACGTTGAGCATTCCGAGAGCGTTGGAGAAGCTGGCACGCAGCCCGCCGCCGAGTCCACATTGGCTGAGAATCTCCGGGATCGGCTCACCATCGCCGGACGCGAGCAAGATCCTAATGGTCGGGAGTCAGTCATTGAGAATAACACCGAACAGACTCGGGATGGAGGCTGCCGGCCTAGGTTGGCCCCAATGTTCTTTATTGGGACACCTGATGATAACCCAAAAGGTGACACGGACATTCGACAAAACTCAACTATCGACGACGTTCATTTTCGGCGAGTAGGGTATTCTGTGGAGATTCTTAAGAACTGTTCGTGGTGCAAGGTTAAGCTCCCGGAGAATGCCGATGTCTACATGTACGGGTGAGCCTTCTTTACCTAGAGTTTAGTTGTTGCCCTTGTGATTTGCTGTTGATCATATCTTTCGATTAATTAACCTGCATGTTATTTTTCTTTTTTCTTTTCCTTTCGTTTCTTGCTTAAACCACTTGCATGAAAGCGGTGAATTTTCATTGATTCCAAGTCTAAAAAGAACTGAAACTGAATTTGAGAGTAAGGTGTGATAAAAATAAGACTAATAGCTTTCTGTTTTCTTGAATCTTTTGGAAATGCTTGATTTGGAGAGCGCAGGTACGACCTTCGCGCATACTGCTCCATTGACTGTCGTAGAAAGCAGATGGCGTTGGACGGGTATCACATCGAAGTTACGAAAACATCGGACGGTGGGGATCGTAAAGAAGACCAGCAAAGTAGCCGGTGTCACCTGCTGTAATATGCCTATTCGTGTATCGATACATAATTAGGGGTCATATATACATACATGTACATGTCGTGGCGTATCGAATCGACACTATCGAATCCACTTGTAAATAGACACAGATCTCCTTCGAACTTTTGATCAAGTCCTTTAACTCTTTATAAGGGAACTCCTTTTGGTGTATTAGACATATTAGGTAGGAACCGACTGAACAATTATGTACACGAATGGAGCAATTACTAATGATGAATGACTTTTCATGTATGGATTTTAGAGAACTCCTGTTAGAGAAAATATTATTAGATATTAGGTATATTATTTGATGTTTGGCTATTTTCTAAAATAACTGCAGGTTTTCTTGTTAGATTAAGGTAGCTAATTTCATTGTTATATATTTATATAATTTTCGGAATTAAATTCTCATTGATTGTAACATATTAAAAAGGTCAAGTTATGTCCACTTTTCTCTAATTCACCCCTTTATGCTTAATTTTTGCATATGTAAAAAAGACTTACTTATAGCTCCCAACATAAGTTTAAACACCGTCCTCATTGTCATAACTCATAATATAGATACATAGTTTTCCTAGGTTCCACTAAATACATGCCGGATATTATTAGTGTATTATTCCCATGAATTGGTTTGGCTTTGCTAAGGAAGAATGATGTAGTTATTTTTTAATCTATTTAAACTGACAAATCAACTGAAAGGAAATTTTTGCCCCACTTAATTTGCAGCTAACTTTAAAATTCTAATTAAAGGTCTTGATATAGTTATCGGTCTCGGAATCCTTAGCCTGCTGGATCTGTTACTTTGATCCGCTAATTCTCTATATAACACTCTTTCACGTCCACCCTCCTTACTCTCAAACCTTAAACACATCCCTTGTTTCCTACGAACCAACACATCCTCAATAACTGTTCATCCTTCGTGGAGACGACAACCCCGAAAATTTAGTTACATCTTTTAGCGGAATCCGCCATTAAAGATGCCCACCTCCAGACGCTGTAGTCTCCACCTTGAACGTTCAACAAGTGTCGGTGACATCGGATCTTCATCCAACCGGGGACTGTGCACTGGTGATGACTATATCCCGACGATCACGAAGAAGAAGTTCCAACCGCAACCCGCCATCACAAAACCCTCTCAAAAGACGAACCCAGAGTCCGAGGGCTCGAAACCACCCGAGCGATCGAACGCCACAAGACCCTCTCAAGACCCTAGTGAACCCTCTCAAAATCCTAGTAACCTCTTGAAACAAGCAGCACCCGCCGCGGCAAAATTACTATCCCAAGTTTTAGAAGCTAATTCAGCATTGAAAAATGCAGAGCAGCACTCGAGACGCCATAACCGCCAGTGATTGAGGAGATATATTTTATCAAGTCGCCCGAGTGAGAGCTATCAGCAACGAAGAAGATTGACGAGAGTGACGAATTGGGGTTATTTGGGGAGTTTATCAAGAAGTGTACATTGTGCAAGAAGGAATTCAAGCCGGACAAGGATGTCTACAAGTACAATGATAGCCCGTTTTGGTCTTGGGATTGCCATGACGACCGAACACTTTGGATGGGTTTAGCAAAAAAGATTTCGGGCATGCCAAGAAGGATCGGAAGACGATGAAATCCTTGAGGAAAGATTTGAATCAGTTGCAGATGTATCTATAGAGGGGACTTGTTTTAGGGCTTTATTTTAAAGATTGATGCTAGAAGGGAACTCTTTACCATCAATCAATCTACCTATGAGCTTCAACTTGTCATGAAACATACCCACTAAAACCCACCTTTTTTAGGTTTTTCTCTGTGAAACTCATTATGACTTATAATCACATTTCAAGTGACTCATTTGAAATATAGGCTTGTGGCCCATTTTGATAGCAAGGGTCATTCTCATCGTGAAGGGTTTCCCGGGAAGACTCTTGAGATATGTTCATGGTGCAAGAAGAAGCTTCCGGAGACTGCCGATTTGTATATATACGGGTGCGAGTCTTTTTATCTAAGAGTTTATTTTCTTGCCCTTCCTTGTAAGTTGTAATTATGGATTATGATCGTTTCTATCGTTTAATTCACTTCCATTTTGTTTTTCTCCTTTCTATTCAGTTCTTACTTATAAAATTTTGTTGGTAAACCTCGAAGATGCGTTGGACGTATATTTTGAGAAAATTTTGATAAGCCGGAAAGTTATACCCTTTTGTATGACGAAGCTCGGAAAAATATAGTTGATGATTCTTACTACAGGAGATATGTACGTATTAAGTAGTCAAATCATAAGGCTGCTTGTGCGAGATGTTCTTTATATCCTTTAATTCATTATTGTTCATGGTATATTTTTCTAAGTTGAAATTCTTTGAAACCTTCTTAACAAGAGCAATTAAAAGGTACATTTGCATTATCTACCAGAGTTTTACTTTTGAAGTATTCGACCTCGTTGGATAACCACAAAGATAACCTTTAGAGTGTAATTAAGTATTCCATAACCTATACTCTTTAAGATAATGACAAGCGTAGCTCTGACTCATTAAACCCAGTTTTGGTAATCTACTATACGTACAGTACCTAGGTGTATAAGGTGCCTTCTGAATCTTTGGAAATGCTTGAATAATCGATGCAATTATGGCCTCAGAGTATGTTCTTAGGTTGAATGTAGAGAAAAGGAAATGGCACTGCACGGGTGTCAGAGATCATGTCTGTCGACGCTACTGTCACCTGCAGTGATTCTAGTTATGCTCATACATACGCGTCACAACAGATACTGTATCCTTTTATGTCATGAATTGAAAACGATGCTACGGACAATTGATAAGTAGACGGATCAACTTATTCTTAGCATCTGATTGAGTCCTCTATCACCATTTTTGCAGATTTTGCTAGCTCACGCGATAGCTGCAAAATTTTGCCTCTAAATTGTTTTGCCCTTGTCTTTGAGGGCCTCAATTTTTAGTAGGGGGAGAGAGCAATGGCATGCATTTTAACAACGTCAGTTGAAATTTTTGCTGGTGTACAACTACAGTTCTCCGATGTAAATCTTTTTCTTATATCTTAAATTGGTTCCTTTTTTTTCCCCCTTATGATCTATTACTTGTGTTGTTATCTTGAGGAAAGCCCACCCTTCAATCTTTTATTTTTCCCAACCGGTGATAATAGACCTAATTAAAATCCTTAACAACGTTGTGTTAAAAGAATTTATACAATGTCATGCCCCGAACCCACGAGCGCGCCAACATCCTTCCTTGGTCGTTTAGTTACGATGTCCCAGGACGCGTCGCCGACCCCAAAAGAAATTTCATCGATCAATTAAACGCATGTTGAAGCATACCAACTAACACCCAACAACAATGAACAAAGCGGGATAGTAAGGAAAACGATTTGAGATATGAAACAACCAACGAAGCCATTTTATAAACATAACGTAAAACTTAGGAAGATACATAAATATAAGCCTATCACAAGGCCGCTTCTTAACAGACCACTCATATACAAAAAGGGATGCGGTAGTCGGGTTAACCTAAATTCTCTAACAAAAACAAGTAGTCAAAAGGTTGGGCATTCCAAAACCCATCACTAAAACTAGCCATAACCGGGAGGAGGCTTCGGGTCAGACTCCACTTCATCCAGATCGGACTCCAGATCCGTAACTTCCCCATTCGACGGGTCGATGTCCATAGAATCCCACACCTCGTCTCCCACACCACCATTAGGTGGTCCATCAAAACCCCTAATAGGCCCGAACGACCCATCACCATTCCTAATGAACCAAGCTATGAACTCGTGTGGCTTCCACAACGCCAATCCCTCATCCACCTAGACGGTGGTCGCATGCTTTTGATAGGCTCTATCCGGTCCAACCGGATACTTTGATATAACTATGCCTATGTTCATGGGCACTCTAAAACGAGTAGGAGGTTGGTTCATAGTCGGGGGTCTAAAAATAATTAAACAACAAACTCAGCAAGTAAACTCCCTAAACCTCGCTTAGGAGAATACATTGCCTCTAGATCGCCCTAAACATACAATCGCTCCAACGAGCACATAACGGGATCACAACAACGCATATGCTCACGAATCACATACAACATATATCATTGCATAATCATGCGCATCAACAACTTAACAATCTAGACATGCTCAATCATCATTCTCAGGCACATCACACTCCTCGATGCAAATCGCACTCATGATAGTCCAGATTATTAACGACCCCTCGGGCTACGGTACATGCCACGGATGGCGGTCTTTCGGCATTGTCAGGCATCGTCCCGCTCCGTCAGTGACGGCATCGTCTCACCAACCTCAATGACGGAATCCCATAAATGGGTTTGTCTCGAATTCCATTCGCGAACGATTTCGTCTCACCCTGCCCCCGCAGCGACATCCAATCAACAAGATTGAGCACGACCTTCACGGCCACGGCACAACCCCTAGGGTTGGTGGTCTTCCGGTATAGCCAGGTGCAAACGGAACTTTAGGCGATCATGCACACCCATCATTCACTTGAGTCCCAATTCTTATCTTTGGAGGTTTAACTAATGTAAAGTGTTTATGACGTGCAATTCTTAACGCATAGGCTACGATGATGACGTACTTATATAACAACACCAATCGACTTGCCCATTCACTTACTAATCAAACTCATGCAAGTCCAAGGTTATCATTTAATCAAACATGATACAACATAAATCATCCTTTAACACGATAAGGTATCACCCAAACATGATAAGTTATCACGTAAAATATGATAAGCTATCACCACAAACTAGATAAGTTATCACCCGAAACATGATAAGCTATCATCATAAACTAGATAAGTTATCACCTAAAACATTGATAACCTATCACCTATAGCATGATAAGCTATCATCTAATCCACCCATTAATCACCCTAATCAGCCCCTAAACCAAGTCTAATAACAACCTATCGCCCTAATCAAGGTTTAGAGAGCAACTTACTCTTAAACCTAAGTAAAAGCTAAGCAAAGTGGCAACAACTAGCCACAGCGGTGGAAGGCATGCAACGGCGAAGCGGCAGACGACAGCGGTGAAGCGGCGGACGGCGGCGGTGAAGCGGCGGTCATGACAACGACGGGGACGGCGTGGAGGCGGCTAAGATGATGGCGAGATGGTGGCGGTGAGAGTGGTG